CAGGGAGCAAAGCGCAGACCGAATGGAGCTCGGCGTTCGGGGGATTCCTCTTCCTTCGCTGCCTTGGGCTTGGCTTTGTACTAGAGCTGGTGTTAGGAGATGAGGGACACAGATGTGAGGCTTCTGGTCCTGGCTGTAGGCTAAGCCGGGGTGAAATAAGCCAGGAGAGGAGCCCCGAGGGGCTGCCTGCCCTCGCCCGCTCCCCACGCTGCAGACCCGCTCCAGGGGATGTAGCAAAGAGCTGGCAAGCAATGGGAAAACAAGCCTGGTTTGGTTTTCCCAATTCCAGGTGTTAGGAGATGAGGGACACAGATGTGAGGCTTCTGGTCCTGGCTGTAGGCTAAGCCGGGGTGAAATAAGCCAGGAGAGGAGCCCCGAGGGGCTGCCTGCCCTCGCCCGCTCCCCACGCTGCAGACCCGCTCCAGGGGATGTAGCAAAGAGCTGGCAAGCAATGGGAAAACAAGCCTGGTTTGGTTTTCCCAATTCCAGCCATCATCCTGGGAGCAGGGGATGTTCCATCTCAGGGGAGCTGGTGCAGCCTTTCCCTGTCCTTAAACTGCAGCAGTAACCTTCTTTTCTCCCTCCTATCCCTGTTTTCTCCTGCACAAAAAGGCAAACCCAAAAGACTCTTGGTGGTGCCCGGATTTGTCTCCTGGAGCTGAAAGGGGCCGTTTTCCATCCCCCAAGCACAGCATCAGAGACCTGGCAGGGAGGACTTTGGGGCTTAGCCTGGCTCCCTTCCATATTCAGCTGCCCAGTTTTTTATAAACACAATTGCATCTATGTTTGTCATCATATATGTTTTTTTAAAGCTCATTTTTGCAAACTAACCCTCTTGGTGTTTTTTGTTTGATTGTTGGTGGTTGTCTTTTTTCCCCTTCTCATGTCTCCTCTGGTTTCCCTTCCTGGTACGGTAGACTGACCCTTGGTTATTGTTGCAGAACTACGGCAGCGGCATGAGACCTCCACCCAACTCCCTAGGTCCCGGCATGCCTGGAATTAACATGTAAGGCAAACCTCACGCCGGGGACGTTTGGCCGCAGATGGGACAGCAGGGCTGTCCGTGGCAAGCGGGCTTGCGGGGATGATGCAGAAAAAGTACAACTTTTCTTTTTTCCTATTTAATTTTGACTCCAGGGGGCCAGGAGCTGGCAGACCGTGGCCGAACCCCAGCAGTGCTAACTCAGTGAGTATCCCGCCATCCTTGAAACGAGAGCGGGGCTGGTCGGGGACCATCCCGCAAACGAGGGTGTTCCGCCTTGGCAGAATCCTGCTAACAAGAGGGGGTTCCCCAGCCTCTCGTTTAGGTGCTGCTCCTGCATCTAAAGCCTAAATGCTGCTCCTGCAGTAGGGTGCAGCTGCAGGGGCTGGTGGGGCCCTGGGACCCTCGTCCTGGCCAGGCTGGGGGGTAAGGGGGGCTTTGGGCTGTGCCCTGCTGGGGTCCAACCCACAGGAGCCCCTGTGCACCCCACAGCTGAACCTGGCTCTCTCCTCTCTGTAGATCCCATACTCTTCTTCATCACCTGGTACATACGTGGTGAGTCCTCCTGCTCCGTCTGTCTGTCCTGTCGTTGAGGTGCAGAAATGTTGGGGCTCAGGGAGCTCATACGATTTGAGGAGGAAGCAGTGCTGTGGGGAGGGGGAGCTGGGCTGGGTTTGGGAGTGTGAGGTCCAGCTGGGAGGGGTGTTAGAAAACATGGGGAGGTGGGCGATGCTCGTGTTTGCGTGGCTGACCCCCGCTTCGTCTCTCCGCAGGGTCCGCCTGGCGGCGGCGGTCCTCCGGGGACACCCATTATGCCCAGTCCCGCAGGTATGAGTCATAGAATCATAGAATCATAGAATGGTTAGGGCTGGAAGGGACCTTCAAAGGTCATCCAGTCCAACCCCCCTGCAAGGAACAGGGATATCTCCAACTAGATCAGGTTGCTCAGGGCCTTGAACGTCTCCAGGGATGGTTGCTCATCCAACCTGGCCTTGAACGTCTCCAGGGATGGAGCATCCGCCACCTCTCTGGGCAGCCTGTTCAACCTGAGTCCCCCGAGACCCCCCATCTCAGGGGCTGCACTGCCAAGCACAGGCAGCCCCTGCCCAACCTTTGATAGCAGATTTATGTAGCTTTTGTCTTTCCGGGGAGTGAGCGGCGTGGGCTGCTTATCTTTGGGATGGCATTTGTTCCTATATCCCCCTTACGGATTCAGATACCGGGGAGGTGAGGAGCGTTCCGTGGCAGGGAATTACCTCTCTGCGTTGCCCAGCCAGGAGTTGAATTATTTTTCACAGTTGAATTTCTGTGATTAAAAACTTTGTGGATCTTCATTAAATACAAATTAGCCCGAAAATCGTGGTACTTAGAGGGAATTTTAGGTGATAAAATACAAAAGAATGAGTTCAAGTGGCACGAGTTTGTTTTAATTAAGAAATGAATTAATCACCCGACTTACTGGGCCTCACTGTTCCACAGATTCAACAAATTCAAGTGACAACATCTACACAATGATTAATCCAGTACCGCCCGCAGGCAGTCGATCGAATGTAAGTCTGCTTTCTAATAATTTACATATCAGATACCATAACAAATCATAATTAACTTCATCAGTTGAGAGTAAAGCAGTTTAATTGATTTCAGCCATTTGTTACAAAACAGAAATAAAACAAACCATCAAAAAGCGATTAACTCTTCGGTGACTTTGTTAATTTTTTATGCTTATTAAGAGAGCGGCGGTCCTGCTGCTCCGGCCGAGGCGGTGGCAGCTGCGTGCCCCGCGAGACGCTGTGTTTTGTGGGACGGGGACAAACTTAAATCTCTTTACATACTAGTTGGAGGGAGCCCTCTGCGCTGCCTGCACCCGTCTGGCCAAATTTTAGAGGTGAACCCACAGGACTATGAGCTCCCAGATGTGCCCAACAGCCTTTGGGGGTGGATGCATCCCTCCTCTCACCTCGCTCCGGAGAGATGGCTGGGGAGGGGACGGTCCCTGGGAACTGCCGTGGCCATGGCAGACACACAGGGTGGTTTTGTGGCTGATTTTGGTTTTGTCGCCTTTTTCTTCCGCAGTTCCCGATGGGTCCCGGCTCCGACGGCCCCATGGGCGGCATGGGTGGCATGGAGCCCCATCACATGAACGGATCGTTAGGTGAGCGCCCGCGGCGGCGGCTGTTGCTTGGGGAGCCCCACCATGCCTTCGCTGCCACGGGATGCTGACAGAGCATCCCAGTGCCTGCTCCTGTCCTGGGGTCAGCCCCCAGTTCGGACCAGTGCTCAAAGCAGAGTCCGTGGCTGGGAATTAGAAAGGGGATCTGGGAGGAGTGGGGAGCAGGGCAAGGGGGAGTGGGGGCCGTTGGTGGATTCTCAGTAAGGCTGTTCTTTTGTGTCCCCCTGCGCAGGGTCAGGAGACATAGATGGACTTCCAAAAGTAAGTGGGCTGCAGAGCGGGTGTGTGGGCCCCCCTTTTCTCGGCACTGGGATGCTGTGTGACCCCGATGGATGGGGACATGTCGGCGTGGGGGGGACGTGACCACGGCAGGCAGGCTTTGTCTTGCCACCGTGATGTTTCGGGAGGCACAAGGACCTGCTCACCGCCTCCCCCCTCCAATCTCCCGCAGAATTCTCCAAACAACATAAGTGGCATTAGCAATCCCCCGGGCACTCCAAGAGACGACGGGGAGCTGGGAGGCAACTTTCTCCATTCCTTCCAAAATGACAATGTGAGTGAGTGCCTCTCTGGGGACAGGGACAGTCCTGGCATGGGGATGGGTGGGCTGGGTGATGGTTGCCTTTTGGACCTGGGTTGTGCTGTGTGTGGGCTGCTCCGGGACAGAAAGCAGGAGTGGAAGAAATACGCTGGTGGGTGCAAAATCGCGTCCTCAGCAGGATGGGGTGTACCGAGGGAGGGGAGAGGATCTCACGGGATGGAGGGGAGAGGATCCCATGGGACAGAGGGGAGCTGGCGCGGATGCAGCCAGTAGTGCTGGCCTCGCCGATCCAAGGCGCTGCGCCTGGCTGCAGACGTCTCTCCTCCTCTTCCTCCATTAGCAGCAGAGACATGCATGCGTGTTAATTATTTGTTTGAAATTGCATCTCGCCCCATACTGTTCTGCTGATTTGCTCGCCGGAAAGGCGAGTTACAGAGCAGATTACGCCCTGATGAATTCAAGTCTCCGGCACATCCTCTCCTCCTGCCTTACTCGATCCAATTAGGTTTCCGTACAGTTGTCATAAGCCTCCTTTTACATCCCCCCTTCGGCGCCGGGGTCTGGCCCGCCTGGTTTCTCACCCTGGCTCTGTCTCTCTTCCAGTATTCCCCCAGCATGACGATGAGTGTGTGATTTCCCTCCCCCTCCTCCTCTCCAGGATCAAGAGAGTCAGCTGCCGTTCGGAGGATCTCAACGAATTATGCAAGAAGAAGAAGAAGAAGAAGCTAGGTGTATGGGCAGGGAGACGCGTGGCAGGGGCCAAAACCCCAGGTTTAGTTTCATGCAATAAAAAGGCTGAACTTTTTATTCCATAAAACATGAAGGACAAAACTTAAAATATTTCAAGACATGACAAGACCCTTCTTTGTGCGGAAGGGTTTATATATGTACATGACACTTCTTTTTGGAAACAAACGGAAGCCTCTAGCACCCAACTCCGATCTCTTTGCTTTGTTCTTTTAAATAAAGACAGAAACCGAACCTGTTGTATGTTTGTGCCGTGCGACACCAGGAAGCTAGTCTAGATATGAAATCTCATGTTGTCTCTGTTGTAGTCATTTTTTTAAATAAACTGGACAGTTTACAATGGTGGTTTTCGTTCAGAAGGCCTGTTTTTTTTATTTTTGGTTTTGGGGTTTTTTTTTCCTTCTGTTTTTGGGGTTGGTTTTTTTTTCTTTGGTTTGTTTGCAGCACAACGCTTCCTCCTCCAGTTAACAAGATCTGCTTTGGGGAAGAGACTCCACCACCTCGTTATAAACTTATTAACGCAGGTGACCCCCTTCTAGGATCACATCCTCGAATGAATCGTGATCTTGCTCTCTGTGACTGTGGCATGCACTGTGTTAGTCTTTCCTCCCCTCTCCGAGTACAAGAAGAAATCTCTGTCCCTCCTTTCCCCAGAGTCCTTCAGCTGGTTCACTGCAAAAATTGATTTTTTTATATATATATTTTTTTTTTAAATCCACTGAAAGAAAGGGTTAATCTGACCTGGGACTTTGAAACTGTGATCTCCAGCTAACTTTGGGGGTTTTTTATTTGCTTTGGGGAGATTTTGAAGTGGGGGGGAGGCGGTTCTTTTCTTTAGAGATGTGCTCTTGTCAGGGTTTCACTTATCTATGATTTGGAACTGGATGGAGATATTTTTTAAGGAATTCTTGTTGTTAAAATGTAACCTTGCTATTCTGTAGGCTCGCTCTGTAATAAGAAAATAAAAATTAATGGCAAGCATCGAAGGCCCTTCCTTCTGGCGGGAGAGGAAGGGACGAGCCAAGGCAGCGGGTTGGGATCTCTGTACATGACACTACCCTGTAGTTTGGTCTTTGTTTTTCTCCAGCTCCCATTTCTGCTCCATGTATATCATATTCTGTAAAATATTCTCTCCCTTGGATTTGACCTTTGTGCGGATTATTGAAAGCATTGTATCTTGTTTCAGTGTTTTTTCTTACCTTGTAGTCTGGTTCGAAAATTACCGAGAGGGGAAAAAAAAAAAAAAAAGTAATTATTATACATTGTAGTTTGTGTACGATATTTGTTGATAATGTTTTATTAAAGGGATGTCTTTTTTCCGCACCCCTTCATTGAAATGTTTTTGGGGAACATTTGGCTTGTTTTTATTATTCTGACTGCAAGACATGAGATGACAAAACTTTTTTTTTTTTAGTGTGTAATACAGTTATTTTATTTTTTTTTTAAATGTTTGCCTTCTTTTTCCTAGGAATTTTAATTGTGCTTTACTTGTAGAAAGTCGCTGGGGAGGGAGGGGTGGGTGGGATGGGGTGAGTGGGATCCTGAGGGTGTCAGTCTCATAGTTACAGTCAGGTTAATATTTTCCAAGTAATGCTGAGAAATAACCAAACGCAGATTTGTTGCATCACAAATATACCCGGGGGCACCCCAAGGAGTCGACTATTTTTTTTTTTTCTTTTTCCACTTTACGATTTGTTCGAGTTTAGTTTTGGGTTTTTTCCTTTTTTTTTTCTTTTTGTTCTGACGTGAGGAAATGAAAGGACCGGTTTTAATGTATTTTAAAATGAATAGCTAAATTATTGTCTTCATTGGTATGGGATGGTTTTTTGAATGAAACGGTTCTCCCTCCTTCTTCCCCCCGCCCCCCCATGCTGTAATAAATATCAACATAAACATTTGATTTCGGTGCTCTGCAGTTTGTTCCTGGTGTTTGCTCCAGACCAGAGAGGGGGGTGGGGGGATTTTTTTTTGACCCTTATTTATTGAGGACCAAACCCCAGCTTTGGGACGCGGGAGTGGAGAGCTGAGAGGTGGCCAGTGTTGAGGTGGGGTGGGGTGTCTGGCTGAGGCTGGGAAGGTGGATGGGGATTCGGCTGGGAGAAGTTTGGTTTAATGATGCTCGCCTGTTTCTTGAGTTCTTTTTTTTTTTTAAGCATTTTGAAAATTTAGCTATTAGCCCAGGAAAATGGTCATTCTTGCCAGCATCGGGCTGAGGATGTGCTGTGCCAGACCCATGCCCTCCCCACGCCCAGCCCACCTCGCTGCAGGTAGAGGGGAGGTTTCAGGGGCTAAAAAGGGGTGGGTTTTTTGCACCTTGTCCCCCAGGGTTTCCCCATTAGAGGCCAGAGGAGCTGCGACGCCGGTGGGCGATGGAGGACGGTGTCCCACGCAGCAGGTTACAGCTCAGGGGTTCCTGGGGAAGAGGAGCTGGGTCTTGCTACCTCCCATTGCTGTAGTCCTGCACTGCTGGGAGGTAAGGGAGGGAGGGGAAGGGACGCAAGTGTCACCTTCAAATATATATATATATATAGGCTTGTGTAATGGGGTCTGCTGACCCCCTCCTCGAGCAAGGGCAGGGTGGGTTCATGCACCATCGCAGGATCAAACAGCTCCAGGCTCTGAACCAGCTGCTGGGGATGGAGAAACCCCGGCCGAAGCTGACCTGGTTCCCCAACAGGCAGCATCAGAGGCTGCTGCAGCACTTGGGGGAATATTGGGACTTTTTAGGTCTTTAGATGGGTGGTTGCAAGTGCTGGGTGCCCAAAACACACCCAGGAGCCGCTGTCTGAGCCTTGTTTGCTGCTTTTGACTAGTTGGGGCAGGATATGGCTGGCTGCCATCGGCAGCTTCTCTCACTCCTTGAGGGAACATTCAAGCGTGGGCTGAGGGCTCCGGGCGCTGGGAGCCATCCTGGAGCTTTGCTGGTCCTGGGGGATGCTTCCACTCCAGGCACCTGCAGCCACCTCATTGCTGCGATGGCAGGAGTGAGAGCTGTGCAGTTGCAGATGCTCACGGAGCAGAGGGGCGATGCCTTGGATGACTGCTGGGTTTGGGAACCACCCAGAAAATCATGGTGCCCACAGAGCCCATTAGCATGTAATCAACGGCGGGTCAAGGAGCGGTGTGCGTTCGCCCCCTTTGCTACCTGCACTGGTTTGCCTCCAGGTTAACGCCACAGAAGTCCTGTGCCAGGTCCGCAGCCGTCCCCTGATGCCATTTTCAGCCCAGGCAACCACATCCCTCTGTGCTTTGCAGAAAATAGCATGCAAGTGTTATCTGCCATTTGGAAACATGACCCCCGAGGGTAATTAGTTGACACTGACAGGACCTCCTGCTGTCCTGGGGCCATCCCTGCCTACGCTGCCCAGCCAGGCCCCTCTCGGCTGCCCGGAGCGATGGACAGCACTGCTGCCTGTTGTCTTTATCACAGAAAAGCCCTGCCCGTTTGTTCTTACTGGGTTACAGGCTAATTTTATTAAACACCACCATGAGAAACTGCCAAGTTCCCTCCTCTAAATGTCTCCTGAGCCCAACCTTAGGGATAATTGTCTCCCACATTAGTTTTCATTAAATTAAATGTGGGAGGAGGATCTGAACAACCAGGGGCTCCGGTCTGAGCACGGCATGTACTCGCTGGCACAATGACTGCAGCTCATGGAGGCGGATTTTGCACTGGGAGTGGTTCAGAAGAAGGTGGTGTGGAGTGGTGGAGCCAGGGCAGCACACCATGCATCATGCCCAGGGCAGGCTGGGGGCCAGATCCTGCACCAGCGGCTGCAGAGCTCTCCTCCCAGCAGCCCAGCACTGCCAGGTCTCCATCTCGGCGTCCAGCCACCCTGTTCTCACATGTTCTGCTTCCCCCGGCTGCCGTTCATTAAAAGTTAATGCCTGGTTCTTGCTCCGTGCTGAGGTAATGCCATTCATCTGCTGACAAGCCTTAATAATTTATTGATGCCAACTCAGATGTGCATTTGTGACCTGTTGTCCTGCTCTCAGTCCCATCTCCCTCAGCTGGGCTAATTCCAGCAGGTCACACTGGAGGAACGAGTGGGTGAACAACGTGTAGCATGCTTGGGAAGACCTGTGGGACACCATATACATGTGCACGGCTGTCCATGGCGGGGGGGGGGGGGGGGGATGGTTCACCGACCTCGTACCTGCACCACAATGGACCAACCTGAGCATCCATCCCAGGTGCCAAGCTGGAAGCCCTGCTCTGCCTCCCTTGAGTTCCCCTCTGGGACCTCAGAGGAGCTTACCCAGCACAAGGATCAGCTGCTCCTTCCAGCAACATGTGAATGCTGCTTCCTCCCTCGGCGCAGGGGAGATCAGCTGTGCCCTGAGCAAACCAGAGCCACAGCCTTGCCTGCTTGTGTTTGGTCCTCTCATCTCAAGTGGCTTCCTGACGCCTCCTGAAGCCTCATTCCCCTGCCAACTATATTGCTTCTGCCATTTTTCAAAATGGCCTTTGTTGTCCTGTGCTCATGCTTTGTCTCTGCTCAGTCCTGGGGACAGCAGGACTCCAGCTTCACTGAGTTTCTCCTCTTCTACTGCCTGTCCTAATAGAGATGTCTTTGTTGAGAGGCAAAACCCTCTAAACGGACTTTGGCTCTTTCTCAGGCAGACCATCTTCACAGATTCCCACATCTACTAGAAGCACGCAAGGTGTTCCATTTCTCCACGTCCCCTCTCCGCTGCAGTCACTCTTCTACGCTTCCTTAGTGAAACTGCTCTGCTCAGGAATGTTCAAGGCAGCGGCTGGCTGCCCCACAGGATTTCCTCCCTAAGACGAGTAATGACCCAAAGCTGGAAGGGTGAGGGGATGTCAATAGTCCGAGGGCTATTGCCTAGAGCTGTAAAAAAAAAGAGAGCCAGCAGCCTGAGAAACACCTTCCACAACAGTCTCCACAGAGCAGGAGTGTATTAAATAAATACATTCCTAAATCACTGGGTGCAAATTATAGATCTGAGCAGATTTAAATCTATGAGCTGAATTACACGTCCCTGGAGCAGGCAGAATTAACATGATTTAAATCCACGCAATGCTTACTAGATTATTTCTCTTTCAAGCATTTTTCTCCTAACTATTGAGGGATTTGTTAATTTAACTCACAGCCGACGCATCCCATTTTACTGGGTGCAACTGCTGATCTGAAATTCGACTGGTGAAAGTCTGTTTTCTGAAATCTGCAGAGTAGAGCCGTCTGATGGATTGAGGCTGGAACACACAACCGTCGTGTTCATCCAGATGGCCAGAGAAGATCATGAAGCACAGACCAGTCTCTGACACAAGACACTGAAGTGAGATGAATTTCTTGGAAGTCTGCTCTTCCACACCTTAAAATAGCACAGGCTGTCCTACTCCTTCCCATGTGCTGGAGGGTATCAGTGCAGAACTGCAAAACATTCCACATTTGGCTGGAGGTGATTTAGCCTTTATTTTACAAAAACCACGCTAATCCCCCCCATCTTAAAAAGAACATGCTTCCTGCTCAGTTAACTCCGTGTGGCAGGAAGAAATTTTTCCTTTGTGTTTTTAGCAGCAAGTATCAGCTACCAGGCACCAAAGTTTCACGCTACATTCTACACCACTTTCCCAAAATGGATAGGTCTCTTCATCCAGGATTGGGGGATAAAAGAACTGTGGTTCTATAGATCCAACAAAGCAATCTCAGCGATTAAGTGCTCTGGGAACTAAGCGCAGGGCAGCACGACGTATCCCAAAGCGGCCAGGAGTAAAACAAAGTAAAAGCCAGGCAGAACGAAAAAGGCCCATGTCTCAGGCTCCCCTCTTGAAGCTTTGTCAGGCTCTTCCACGTAGGCTGCATTCAGAGGTGCTCAAAGCAACCTCGGAAAATAGGTTTGAGCCTAGCTCTGTGTAAAAGCACACCGAGAGCAGAACCTGCGCAGAGGAATAATGACTGGCTTACGTTCTTTCTAGGCAACAGCGGAAAAGTGCAGGAGGACGCATTTGATGACTCTCTCTAACCCGAATCCAGAGGTGAGCCCCTAAATAAAGGTTTTTTTCATGCACAATTTAGTTTAAAAAAATATTTTACTTTCAGTAACAATATAATTTATTTTTCCAAGTAAAATTAATCCACCTTTCTTTAATTATGTGATAGTTCTGGCAAAGAGAAGCAGCAGGTACAGTTGGTGAAGTATTCTCATTTGAGCTGAATCTCACACAGTTCCATGCAGATACAGTGCCAGAAACTTCTTGAATGTGTCTGGCTGAAAGCCATATATTCCAGCGGGCTTCTGCAGAGGAAAAGACACGGATGCTCAGTTTGCAGTGAAGTGATTAATGCAGACAAACAACGGCTTTAAAGCCGCTTGACTAACACTCCAGACATGGTAGCTTCCAAATTGTGCTCTCCCTCCCCAGATGGGTTGCTGTGGGTACTTCCCCTGGAGTACATCTCAAACGGCACAAACCCTTTGCCCATCAAACTGAGAGGCCCTCCCAGCGTAACCAGCGCTGACAGCACCGTGCTCTATTTACTCTACAGGAAAGCTGACAGTTGCACGTAAGCGCTTCCTTCATCAGAGCACGAGCCGATTTTAAACAAGCATGTTACAAGACGGGAGATTACAGATGGGGATATCTTTATGTAGGAGTTCATACGAAGCTTGGCATGTGGCTCGCACGCTATCCGGTACATCAGCACCACAAATACTCCCTGTCACTAACACCTGCTTAAGTAAGAACAAGGCCAGTGCCTGTCAGGTCCCTTCAGCTGGTTTAAAACCCACACTGCAGCTCTACGTCAGCTCCCCCAGATCTCCGGCAGAGGTGAAAATGTAGGATTTCCAGGACCATTTCCCAAGTTTTGCTTGGGTTCGCTTACCAGAACGACTCTCTTCTTGACTTCCGGAACACACTGGGCCTTTTCATAGAGATTCTGATCAGAGTCAATCCAGACTAGATTTTTTACGCCATCACCAGAGACGAGGTCTGTTGTATTTAACTGGAACACCATGAAGTGGAAGAGCTGGCCATCTGTGCCAACACTTTGCACCACTATTGGCTGCTCCAAAACCTTGGGCTCATTCTAGGAAAGAAAGGAGAGGGGAGGAGAACGCTTAAAAAGCCAGTTACTACAGAAATTGTATGAGTACTTGCTGATTCGGCATCTTCTACTTGGTTTAAGGCCAAGATTTTAATAAATGTATTGTTACCTTGCCCAGAAAATTACTCCAGTCAAACAAGTTTTGAATGTAGATTTTGTATTTTAATTAAAATTCCTCCTTTGGCCAGCAATGAAGTATCAATTTACATACTTAGCTGTGGGATGAGTTAGAGTTTTACAGTTGAACCTACTCCCTGGTTCCTACCCATTACTCCTCCAATGCATGTGTTACATCACCAACACGCTCATTGCTGAGCGACAGTTTTCTGGATCAGCAGACATCAGTAACCATACCTGAAGGTTAGAGTTAGACCTCTGGACTGGGGAGCTCAGATTTGAAAGCTATTTTAACATGCCACAGCAAGGGAACTTCACGACTCTTTCCACTACCTGCCGCACTAGAGGAAGAACAAAGGCCCAGTGAGTTGGCACCAGTCTCCAATACGTACCCCGTACAGCACCCTGGCCTTCGCCAGCGCGTTGCCAAAAGCAAACATCAGCATCTTAGCACGAAGTTGTTCTGGTCTGAACCTCCTAGTACGAATGTTGGCTGATTCCAGGAAGAACAGAGTGTGGGGATGAGAGTACTGATAACCATCTTTAAAACCTAAACAGCAGATAATCGTGTCAGAAATCGCTCAGTAAGAGACTACGCCGCCAATGTTTCCTCCCATATCTTCAGGAACTGTTAAGAGTCATGTGCCGGGATTTAAGTTCCCCACTGTCCTGCTCGAGGCCACAGGTCTCAAGCACTTGCACCACACGTCCTGTGCCCAGCTACTGTGTCTCTTCATTCCCACCTACCCCCTACCCACAGCTGTCCTGCAGAAGGGCAAGGACTGCAGGCTAACCTGAACACTTAGTCTGACAGAAAATTATTACTGATGGCTAGATTTACCTGTATCGTTGAGCTCTTTGTACACATTCACTTCCTGAAGATCAATTGTAGGAGAGATGGGATAGAAGGTCTCCAGAACATGTTCTTCAGTGGCCAGTATGTCCTCCTTGGAGGCTACTGGTGGTATTGGGGTCAGAGAGTTCATAAGTATTCCATTCATGCCTCGGACCTGAAGGAGAATGGATTCTGGGGAGGGAAATAAGGCTACATTCAAACATTGCTGAAATAAGAT